TGGAAGCTGAAACCCTTGCGGAACAGATTTATAAGCTTTTCTAGACTTGCTGTTGGGGACGGTGATTGCTGTACCTTCTTCATTTTTGGATACACACCACTCATTCTAATGTGTATCTGGTAAATCAAACATGTAGCTTTCAGAATGGGCAGGCATTCCAGATGTTGGCACAAAATTGACAATTTTATTGGTCTCACAAGGTTAATGCCTCCATGACTGCCAGTTTTGGACATAAACTGAGTTTCTGAACTGATATACTGTCAGCCTGGGTCTATAACTACTTGGTTAGTTGGGATATCTAGCTGAACTTGTACTCACAAAAGTTCTACTTCCCGGGTTTAGATGATGAATCTACGGAATCAAAAGTTTCACTTTAGATTCTTGCCATTGGTGAGTAAGATTGAAAAGGTAAACCGTAGTCGGTAGTTACGGTTGTCTAAGGTGCAGATTAGATACCACTGCCAGTTAGATAATTGGTACACTTACCAATTAAATCTTCTGAAATTGACTAAGGTTTGATTCTTAGTTATATTGCAGGCTTGCTTCAGCAGAAGTCTTGATAAGATTTTACCGAGAAAAAGGGAATATGAATTTTTAAAGAGTACGCCAGTCAATCAGAACTACCTAAATGATCTGTGACAAAATCTCGGATTCTGAGAAATGATAAGGAGAAGTATGGAATCTAATCGATAACAAAAAAGGGTTGAGAAGATAAAGAAAATGTTATACAATAAGGATTTCTAAAAGGTTTCAACTGAGATTGTTTTCAAACAGTTTTATGGTTTAAGGTAAAGATAAGATTATTCTTCCTTCTTTTAGTTGAGAGAGGTGAGTATTTAAACTTGTCTACTTTGCTTATCAGACCGATCTGTTCTATTCGGATTGGTAGTAGAACATGGTTTCAGCCATTTCATTTGGTAGATTATTTTGTTTTGAACCAGTCCCTAATTTGTAACAAGGCTGGTTGTATGCTTGAACCTTGTTACGCCTGGTCAGGGTTTTGATGAATTATCTCTCTTTGGATTTTATCCCTGACCGCGGTTTTATTTTTTTTATTATGGCTTTGAGGGTAGTTAGAACAGCTTATGATGTATTCATGAGTTTTATTAGCTGTTTGAGACTTTCCTTTCAAACAGAGTTCTTATTTCAATGTTCCACTCTTGAAACTAGAGTGTAAGAGTTGTAATTGTGTTTTTTATATTTTTTAGTTATATCTAAAGGTGTAATGAAAGTAATGGATGGTTTTTGTTAACCTACCAGAGGATTCTTACTGTAAGAATCTTCTTATGGTTGACATATACACTGCTGCCGTAAAAATCTGTAAAAATATGCAAAATGATGGGCAAACACAGGGGAAGGCAACCCTTATTTTTCCATATTTTTTGACCCCTTCTGCCTTGTGTATAATTTTCTAAACTCAGCGGTAAATTTTCAATCTGGCATAGTGTTAGCATGTAAGATGAAATCAGAAAAGAGTTGTTTTGAGACTATGTATGCTATATATAGCATAAAGGTGAATCATCCTCGTCAATATCACTTCAAGTCTCAGCATATAAGTGTTTTCAGACTGACTTTAGCTTTTGATTTTGTTATTGGACATCCATCTCAAACAAAATCATCACTGGGAACCCATTCATCTACCTTGACAAAATCCAATGCTGGATTGCCCAAGTTACCAGCATTCCAGTCTTGCAAGCTACCATCAGCTGTGAGATGCATCTGCAATTAGAACTCTTTCATCTGGTCACTTAGGGAGTCCACATAGTGCAGTCCATTGAGGATTGCACAGATTATATGGTTTGAGTTGGTAGGATTCCAGCCAAATACTTTGTGTTCATTGGTAAGCAAAACCAACTTTAGACTTTGTATTTCAACTTGCCAATTTCTTATCCATGTTTTGTCAAATTTTGTGAACAAGTCTGGTGTGGTCAGATGTGACTCTCTTCAAAGGAAGCACTGGGCTGTAAAAGGAATCCAGACCCGCCCATGGAAGACTAGTCCATATCAAGACCCCTAGACCATGCTGCCTGCCATATGTGAGCATGTCATGATAGATGGGGTAGTAATCAAAGGGCCAATGGAAATAATCCATATCTAACTCTTCCTTGCTTGGGGGTGGGTCAACAATTTCAGAGGTTTCCATCTTCTTGTCCTGACCATCCTTGACAATTATCCCTCCTTTTTGTATTTAGTAGCTGCTGGTAAGGCTCTGACCTGCGCCTGGAGGCCCCAGGGCACCCGTCGGCCTGTGATTATCAAGAGTAGTCCTCTCTTGGGGCTTTTTTAGGCTTTTTGGGCCAAAATCAGGCATCACAAATCAATGAGGTGACAGGATTTTCTCAGAAAACGTCTCAGCAGAGGTGTTGAAAGTATCAATGGATACTTTGTATCATCTATATGGGCAACACCTAGTAAGCAACGCTGCGCACTGCAACAGGCATATCCAGTGCAGCGTTGCTCCATGAAAAAAATCGACGTTTTGGAATTCCGGTAGCGCAGCAGTGTTTGAAACCAAAGAGCTGCGCTACACCTGTAAGCGTTGATTTTTGACGCTGCGCAACAGGCACAACAGCAACGCAACTCACTAAAACAAGTGTTAAAGTAGCCTGTTATGGGAGGAACTAATCAATCTTGATAGCACTCTTTTAGCTATTGAAGAAGAAGAATCAACTTATGTTAGACACAGACTAACTCAATTATAAGAACTATTTGAAAGTATTAGATTATTCATTCATCAAAATTCAGAAGACAATCAAGTGATAGTGCTTCAGAAATCTTGAAATCACGACAAAATAGACAATGGCAGCAATGGATTACTTGAATGAATGAGATTTTAGGTTTTCAAACAGATTTCATAATTCACTTGACCTTTGTTTGATATGTCATGATGAATTTCAATCTGGTCGATCAATTTCTAGATCCCCTTGTGATGATGACCATGAGTTACAGTCAATTTCATAAAGGTTGAAATCAAGGTTTTTTAAAAATCAAGAGGTGGACCGTGCGCCACCTGTGACAGGTTTCAAATATGCATACCAAACTGCTGGAATGGACCGCATAAACACAGTTGACTGAAAAGAACTTCTGGCGCAGGTGGATGAATGCCCTCTATAGATGTGAAGAACACCCTCATGAGCCTTACATTTTTGAGTTCAAGCCTGAGTGGCTTTCTTTTATGTCATCACGGCTTTTGACAACTTTTTCATATTTGATTTGCTTGTTGTCATAAACTAAAAGAATAGAAAAGCCTGTTTTTGATTGCTTGAATTTGCTTGTTGCCATTTCATTGTTAATTCTAGGCAAAAATGATGATAAAAAGGATGGAGCCAACGAGTCGAACACAAGCGGTCCATCAAAGTTGCACCAGCCTATCACGGCTTCTGACCACTGCGCCACCAAATATTGAAATCATTGGGGTTGTTGAAGGATTTGATACTGTGTTTTCTTTGATCTGGCTGGGAATTTTGATACCTGTCACAGGTGGCGCACGGTCCACCTCTTGATTTTTAAAAAACCTTGATTTCAACCTTTATGAAATTGACTGTATATACTAGTTGCGTAAAGGTATGTCGAAAGTTTATTTGATTTGTAATTGGTTTCTTTGATTTATATTTTATTTTTCTATTGTCGGGTTAGTGAAATTGATTCAAACTGTTCCTCTTCTTGTTTTGATTGTTCTTTGCTTGCTTTAGACTTTGTTGAGAACTTCATTTAGATGCCTGATGTGTAGCATTTCTATTGACAAAATTGGAGCAACACACTCAATGATGAATGAGTAGGTTAAATGTAAATAAAGCTATGTAGGAACGTTTACATTACATTATATAACTTGTGTTGATTTTGTTTGCAAGGAATTGTCTGGGGTCCAAATTTATTATCAAGAGTGTTGTGAATTGTCCAGATATGTTGAGATATGTCAATGTTGTGTCAAACCCAGTTTGTGTAGGCGTGTAAGAGATGGTTAGGAATGGTCTTCTTTTTAAAAATGGTCTTGTGGCGGAAAATTACTGACAATAGTATAGGAATTGGCCAATTGTGTCACACTACACTGGTGACCTTCATGGCCCCGCAACACCTGCAACAGCTGCGGTCTGCGGTGCTACAGAAGCATCTGCATAGCTGTTGAAAAAAACAACCATTTCCACTGGGCAGGAAGCTCTGCGGGCTCTCACACCCAAAGTGCTACGCTGCCCAGCAGCGTAGCTCCCTCAAAAAACTGCAATGCCGCGCCGCACAACAGCAACAGTCAGTGTTGCTTACCTGGTGTTGATATGGGTGACCGTTGAAACATAGCCGGGTCAAGGCTAGGTCAGAGCCTCAAATAGGCTACAAGTCCTTGATTTTTTTGTTTGGAGGAAAAACACGGGGCAGCCCTGGGCCTTCCCGATCTTTGCTGAGCCCAAGCTTGGGCAGGCCTCAAATAGGTTGGGCCAAGACTGGGTTGGAGCCTTAGCTGCTGGTCATGAATCCCCACCCAGGAGTAAACTCTGACCTGGTATTGCAAAATGCCCAAGTCCACCACAGTTGGATTATCAAGCAGCTTTGCAAAGAAGCTGAAGTACTCCTTGTCTATCTACCTGCCTATTCTCTCAACATGAATCCAAAAGAGAACACATTCTAAAGTATGAAAGCTCAGTCGCAACATGAGCAAGTCTGGTTCAAGGTGGATAACAAGGGTCAATACTTGCTTTTACTCACCACCAAAGTTATGATATGCCAGCTTGTACATACTCTCATTGCTTATTGTAGCTACACCACTGACTCTTATTGGCAACAATGCAACAACAAGGCTCAGGTGTAGGTACAATATCATTGTCTTTGAGCTGTAAATTAGATGCAAAGGTATCATGAGAAATCTGCTCAATGCACTTACAGTAATTTGAAAGAAAACATCATCAGTATTTTCAATGTATTTTGTACTTTGCCACTAGGTTCTCCTTGTGTTTATGCAATGGTTTTCCCAGTGATGTGCATATCAACATCCATATTAGCTGTTTAGACTAAGCATAGCGGCCAATCTTGAAATCGAGTTCCTCAAAGACCTTGGCATGTTTGACAGCTGACAAAGGGGTTTTGATGGAAGTATTTATTGGGGGCTTAGGGATCACATCAATCCAGACAAAATACTCCTTCCAGACTTTCACCAGTGGGCCATCAAGTTTGAGACTGGTAGTACCCTTGTCCTGTGAAATTGAACAATGTCAGTGAAAGGCCTCAATATTCAGCCCAAAGAACCATGTGTCAGAAAGTCAAATCCATTTTTTGGGTGAGGTTGTTTTTGTTGAAGATATGCCATCCCTCACCTGTATTGGTGTGGAGCAAGCTAATACATGGTGTTTGTAACACTGTGAGGTATGGCTTTGCAGGTGGGATTGTGGCAGAGTGGGTACAATCAGTGGTGGTGGGAGTGGAACTGTTGAGGGAATTTTGTGCTTGCAGATGACTTTGATTCCTTGTAAGTTTCTGTGTGAGTGGAGAGAGGTATCAGTATCAGACAGGACAGAACATTTTATAAAAAAATCACTGCACTGGCCACTAGGGCTGCCTTGATTGGGTCGTACATGTTGATCAAGAATCCAGCATTACCAACTGCACCAGTGGGAAGTTCTAGAAAGAATGATTTGACCTGCTTGTAGAAAGTGATTGGATACATGTGGCCCTTGGTGTAGTAACTATGTAGGGCTATGAAAGCATAAATATTGACAGTCTTGCCTGTGTCTGCCAGTTTCAGTATGGCAGTGCTCCCCATAGTGGGATGTTTGTTGATTTTGCTGGCCAAGGTGAACAACTTCTTCAAAATTTCAAAGTAGTCATTATTGATTTTGGAGCTGGGATCACTGATGAAGATTGGGATTCTCTCATAGGCAGTTTGACTTGATTTTGGTTGCCACTTGGAGAGATTGTGCCCCTTTGGCAGGTAAAACATGTACTGGAGACTGAGTTCTTGAAAGTTGTTTTCTGGGATCTCTATAGTAAGAATAAGACAAGGAAAAGGAAAAATCAACAGAATGAGACATGAAAAAAATGCAGAGAAACTTTAGAGAGGCTTACCAGGTTTGCCTTCTTGTAATGCAACTTGAGGTAAGTTTGATCCTACAAATTTGATATTGGAGCTTACCTTGCACAGCATATCTTGCTTGGAACCTGGGCATTTAAAAACAAATCAGCCATCAGTTTGGAAAGTGTCAGCCCTGAGCCCTGATTACACGACCACAGGCTAACAGTAACACATGTAATATTATATTATTGTAAAAATCCATAAGTACATCTCAAGGCTCAGTGTCAAGAGCCACGTAAACACATGTACATAATGTATCAAATACGTAACAAACCTAACCCAAGCGCCAACCACAAGTGAGACAAGAATCACATGCCAACCACAAGTTGACGCTTGACCTGTGAATATATAAACCCCCCTTCTTCCCTTGATTCATCCCCCATCTTTTAACACATCACAACATCAGAATCACATTATACTTGAAATCCTATATAGAGGATCCTTGAGTACGTGATTAGTTGGGTAGTCTAAAGACCAAACTTGAGCATCACGGGTTCTATTGCTGAGCACCCTGGTATTGATTTCTACAAGCCTTGGGCCATCATATTCTCTAGAAATAAACCGTAAAGCAGCAAAGCTTCCTCCCTTATACGGAGTCTAAAGTAGCCTTCAGGATCTTTGGTTCACCAAAGTGTAAAGCCTGCCCCTTGCAGTCTCACAAGGTTAGAGCATACTAACTCTTTACCACCCTTAATCCCTTTCTCTCTCCCTCAAATCCTCTTCTTAGAGGTCAACTAGCTGTAGTCTTCACTTGGGTGTACCACGTGAAGACCACACTTTACCTCCCTTATCACCTTCTTAGGGAAGAGTATGCCCAACAGACGCGCACTCCTCACAGAAAGGCCACAATAAATATAATGACTTACAAGTTTTGGCTTGGTAAACCTCAAAACCAGAACTGGCAGCACTGGCTTTCCTCACCACAAAAATGTCATCACACATAATGTTGGACTCCTGTGAGTTGGGGACATCAGAAAAAGCGCAGTAGCAGGGGTGTGCAACTTAGGCAATGGTTTAAGTTTATTCTTTCTAGGCCTATGTAAAGTTGTCAGTCAGACATGAGGTAAAAAAGAACCAAAAAAAGAAACAAAAATAACACACTGAGGAGCACTAGGGTATGGCCTATTGCCAATTGTGGTGTCATCAAATAAAATTTGAGCTAAAAAGTTGGATTTGATCAAGGTTATCAAATTGATAGAGTCAAAACAGGTGAAAGAAGTTATGGTCAAATAAAAATATTTTCAATGACCTGGACTCCCATTGTTTGGCTGAGAAGTGGTTGGAATTGTGGTTGTTAAGGAGTGAACAGATACTGTCAAGATCTATTCCAATCCTTGTGGTGGTGCGAGTATACAGACAATATAGGTGCTATGCGGCTGTGCAGATGCACCTACATATTCCCCAAGCACAGGCCTCTAGGCCAAACCTATTTTGAGGCTTTTTCAACCTTTCTGCAAGAGACAACACATAATCTAGGCAAAATTTGGTGATTGAGTTTATGCATCGAACTTTGACAGTGTATGTGACACTGAAATATGTATGACCAGACTCTACAAAGCATCTACAAAAAAACAGTCCAGCCTATCAATGTACACCAATCCTACATAGAATAGTCAAACAAGGTACTACAAAATGAACAAGAATCATTGAAACAAACACTTTGATCTATTCAACAGAATAGATCTTTGGGGCTGTAGTCTCTCCTACACTTCTCAGTCCTCCACCAACCAGTAGATTTGGGTCAAGCTTCTCAAATGTATTCTTTGTGTTTGATTGAAAATGTAAGGGCCCTTGATTCTATGATTAAACTTTCACTAGTTCAATTGTTTATCTTGGTATCTTGAGGCCCAATCTTCAAATAAATATTGAATATGCAGGATGGACATGCTTACATTTGATTTTGAGGAGGGGTATATACAGTCTATGCCCGGTGATGCACTAAGTGCATCATGAATGATACTCAACATGTTTATGTGTAAATCACAGTGTGCATAACGTGAATGATCACAATGCTGAGCTACTGCTCTTTATTGGTGTTCTGTCTCTCTTTTGTATTTCACTGGATGTCCAGAGTAAAACATTTGTGTATATACTGCTTTTTTTGCCATATCATCTTGTCTCTTTCATTATCAATATTTCACTTGTATAATTCATTCAAATACATACAATGTACCTCTTCCTTGTCTTGTCTTGAGACCGCAAGTCTGTGTCAGCTTGTGTCTGATAACACAAGTCTGGAAGCAACATTTCACAAGTGTAAAATATTGTCCAGTACTTACAGAAACACAAAACTGACACACTGAAGGCACTGGGCTAAAACATTTGTGTATATTATCATGACCTCAAACCAAACAAACACCCTTCAGGGTGGCTAGCAGTACATAATATGCAAAAAACAATGTAAACAACACAGTAATACCTTGAAGAATAACATTTATAGGAAACTTTTTGGCAACATATCTTAAACTAAAAAATGAAAATATAGGAATAGACAAAAGGAACAGTTTTTACACAGTTTTTTAATATGTTTTCAAAGACACTGTTTGAAGGTCAAAAATATAAACTGTTGATAAATATACAAAACACATACAGAATAAGTGTTTTGTGTAAGATATTTCAGGTGGGAGAGGGAGGGCTTTGAAAAATAACTTGCTACACTTTCTGAACTTGACAATGAAGCTTATGAATTGGAATTCTAGATGGAATTGGTAACGAGAAATATGAGTGGTAAACAGGATGATGTCATTTTTACAAATGCTAAAATAGACAATTACCCTCATATTTAAATCATTCATACTTGAAGTACCTAATTCCCAACATTCCAATCAGTAAATGACAGGTTACCTACAAACAAACATTCCATCAAGCCGCCTCAAGGCACATCATCTCAATGATGAGCTCACTGGTCGATTAGCTTAGTCGGTAGAGCGTGGTACTAATACATTGTGTATCAATGCCAAGGTCATGAGTTCAAGCCTCATATTGACCAAATGTTTTTGTGGGCTTCAACTCATGACCCTGCCACTTTTTGCAGAAGTGCTTCAGAGATTTGGTTTCCCTGGATTTCTTTCAAGTGCTTTTGATTTCACACATTGGACTACCTATCTTTATGTGTCAACTATAACTAAAGTACTACAACTATTATTTTTTCTACCAATGGGTGGACTACCAAGCCCATAAATCCCTTTGTACAATTCTCTGTATATAAGAAGTCTTTATAGTGTGCCTGGCGCCCCAGGGCCACGAGCACTTTGGGAGCAAGTTTGTCTTGCCATTTTTTGATCTTTCAGATGGAATGTCCAGAAAAGGGATACACAGGTGGCCCAGAGCGGCCCACTTTTACAGTACTCATTGGCTGCTTGTACTGATGAGATTTTTGGCTGGATGAGGTTTTGTGGGGATGTTTGAACATCTATACACATCTTCCCTACTGCAATTAGAGTACTTAGTGATATATTAGATAGTAAGGTTATTCCATATTCTATGATTAGGAACAATTGAATGTAGCTTAGCAAAAGACACACCCACCAACTGCATGTGTCCCCTGGACTCGGAGCTGGGTTGAACCCCGTCTACCCCCCTTCTGGGAAACAATTGCAAGACATGGAGTTTCTTTTGAATTCATCTTTGATAGTGGGACTTACCCAAGAACATCTTGCTACGACCAACTGTCTCTGATTTCATAAAATTTGAGAGGTAGTTTTCTTCATGATTCCAAAGGAATATTCTTTTTCAAATCTTGTTTTGGCAACAGCAAACTCTAAAAATTACCATGCATTTATAGGGATAATGTCCCTACAGGGTATACCTTCATGGAGATTTGATAGTAGTCAGCCTATTGCATTATATTGATTGTCACTGATTGTACGTATGTAAATTGACAAAACAAACAAGGATAAGAACAACAGTAATTGAGAAAAATGATATCAAAGAAAAAGGGAAATGGTGGTTAAGCATGAAATTGTTGACAAAGAAAATTAGATCAATGATAGAAAGAAAGCAATAGTAAGGCTGCAAGGGTTCAGGATTGGGCTAGTATTGGGCTTAGGGGTTAGTATATAGGGGTACAACAGGAATCAATGTGTTCAAAACCCAATTGAGGAAAGGTGTGGTGACCTGTACTGCAACTTTCTTCAATTGCAAGTCTTGTTTACTCATTCACATTGGGTTTGCTGACTACCCTTAATGACACCCTGATTCCGTATTGCCTCAAATATTGTCAACTTTCCTCCACTGGGAAGCTACTTTTTGATGAAATTCCGATTATTTTACTCAAGGGTGTACAAATAAACATGTATTCAATGCAACAATTTCATGATGTCAAATGTGACATAGAGAAAGGGTGAACTAATGTGTAGAATTGAGATGATTCAAATGAGACTGAGATCAATAAGGAAGGAATCATCAATACAAAACACTATGCCAAAGATCTAGTGTCTTAATTTGCCCCAATTCCCTCTATATGTGATTATGAGTGTGCTGTCAAAGTTGAAAAACTTTGCATTCACTCTGATTTACTTATGCCCCTCACAAGTGTGTTTGGTTTTCAAGGGTGTGGGAAGTATACTTGTGAGGGGCTCAGCTAATCTGCCATCTTGGTTGCTGTTTTCTTTGAAGATAAATTCATCAAGTCTCATACATAATAATTAGTAGGTTGTGATCCATACTAACAAATTCATTTTTTATGATGGAACAATGCTCCAATGGAAGTCATGTATAACTGGAATGTTGACTCAGATATTGTAAAGCACAATACACACTTTGCAAACAACAGCAATGCTAATATCAAGAGATAATCAGTAGTCTACATATTTGATTGAAAACTTACTGGTGTATAAAGAGAATGAAAAGAAGTGGCCAGTGAAGATAATACACAGCAATGATGCATGTTACACATACAGTCTTGTATGGTTTGCATTTTGAGTAGACCATGGCAATTGATGTTTGTAATTATCAAGAACAATTGGGGCTGATTGATGATAGTCAAGGGGTGTTGAATTGAGGTGTAATTGAGGGGAGTCAGAGAATTTAGTGTGAATTTTATTGCCAAGGCACCACTTGATGCGCTGGGCGTGTTTTTGCCAAAAAAAATGCTGGAAGCCGAAATGTTGTTTTTCACCAATATTTTTCTAATTTTTAAGTTGCTGAAGCCATCTACCACAAAAGTTTTGCCATGTAAAGGTGAGAAAGAGTTAAGTGCTGTTGTCAACAATTCCAATATTGGTGACAGGACATAGGATTCCTTAGATTTGGTGTGATTTTCAAAAAGGTGTGCCAACCCTCAATTTTCCAAAATCTCTGGCGCCTAGGCAAACCTAAGGTGTTTTTTTTGCACCACACCCCAACCTGATATGAGGTGTAAATAGTGTTTTATTACATATTACATGTGGTGTTGAGTGTATGTGTATATGTAATTGCGGTTTGGATATGTTGTATTGAATGTTACATATGTTTTCTAAGCTATATGTACATGTAGTCAGGTTTTTGAGTGCTGGTTATATATTACAAGTTAGTCTTTGGGTACATGTATATGTAATCATGACTGACACTGGGCTGCAACCCATTTTACCAACAGCAGGCTAAAAAAGTGGGGTGAGGTGACTTCTGCAAAACAGTTGCTATGTTCAGTAAAACTATCAGATATGCCCTTTGCTTTTGTGAAACATTGTGCTAACCCATTCTTGGTTTTGTTTTCACTTCCACTTACTCTGTTCAAACACTTCAACCTACATAGTTGATTGCATTGATTTGTTGAACATTGATTTGTTGAATTTTCTTGGGATTGATGGTCACCTTAGTCACTAATGGTATTCACTGTAATGTGTCAAGTGTAAAACTTTAGGAGAATGAGAACACAAGAGGGTGAGTCAAACAAAACCAAGGATAAATTATATGATGGCAAGTAGAGCTATACAAAATGAGTGTGAAGAAATAGAAAAGAAAGAAATCCACAGAAAGGCAAGTGTAAATAAGTAGAAGAAACAAAGAAATTAGACTCAAGAACTGACCAAGAAAAAAAAGCAACTCCCAAGCAAACAAGTGTACACACATGGAAAAGAAAACAGAAAACTAATAATAACCAATCAACTCCAGAGTGCAAAGAAAGAAACAATCCAAAAGGAAATAATCAAGCAGCAAGAGAGTGTAAATACAAACAAAAACATAGACAACAATTGGGCTGTGGCTCCGAGAAGTGTTATTTTTGGCTGAGCAGCTTTAACCTGCTTTGTTTGAAACCGTCCAAAAATGGGCTTTGGATAATTCTTTTCTGAACTACAGATACTGAGCTCTTTTGGATAACCAAAATTAAGAGCCCTAGACTTGCATCATGCAAGGGTGCCATACTATACTGGTATGAGTATAGTTGGGTATAGTATAGTTTAAATTGTACTATACTATACTAGTATAGTATAGTTGGGTATCAATTGATCAACTATACATGGACAAGGGTTACACAAGTTTTCCATCAGCATGTTTACCTATACTGCATGGTATAGTATAGTATAGATGAGTATAGTTGTACTATACTATACCAAGTATAGTTCAAGTACAGTATAGTTGAACTATACTATACCAAGTATAGTCCCAGTGTAGTATAGTATAGTGGCAGCCTTGCATCATGCTAACTTAACAAAGTCCCTTGAGACTTGACACCTGTCAATCAACAAGTTGAATCAGGATGTCTTCACCAGAGGGACTTACCCACAAGGTCTGATTTTTGGCCTGAAGGCTTAGCCTCCTTTTGGCTGGGGAGATCTTCTTCCTGCTTTTTCCATGAGCTCACCAAGGATTTTGTGCCCGCCATGCAACCACACATGCGCAGGATCTTGGTGCATATTGTACAAGTGGAATCATCAAATTCCACTCTTCCCTTGCTGAGCTACATAGATTTGAATCATTGTATTTTCCACATGTAGCTTGACTAAGTTGGGGGACTGCTCACTACAGAACCAAAGAAGTCCTCGACCTTAGTTAAGCTACATGTCAAAACTACACAAATGTAACTTGATGTAGCTCAGTGACACCACGGGAATTAAATAGTTCAAACCCGGATTGAACCAAATTTTGGTGTCCGGGTTTGAATTTTCCTCAAATCGTGAAATTTGTTCACAACTTGTTTGCAATAGGTTTGCCGGTTTCCCTTGAGCGGTACTCTTTTGGCCCCACATTTGTATTTACAGCTTCATCATACAACAACAACCCTGATTCCAACCATTCAACCAACACCGCAACCGCTACGCTCCGCTCAGGTTTTTGACCTATTTTGGGAGCGGAGCGCAGTGCTGCGCTCAATCTCACTACGCACAATATCGCTCTTTTTTATTTTTTTTCTTACTTTGGTGTGCGTAGTGCAACACCAGTGTGCGGCGCTCATCACTACAAAAGACCTGAAAAGTCTAAAAAAAACATAAAAAAGAGACTCGAGCCCTGGCTCTGAGCGGAGCGATATGCTCCGCTCAGGACTTTCCTCTCCTCGGAGCGCGGTGCGCAGCCTCCGCTCTGGGTAGCGGAGGTTTGAGCGGATGCCAAAACCGCTCCGCTCACGCTCATTTGAGCGGAGCGGTTGCGGTATTGATTCAACCATCTTTCCTGTGTCATGCATCCTCAGTCTTGAATCTTATTCTTGATCCTCTGTACAATTGGTGAATCCTTGGTGACTGATGCTGAAGGTTGTTGTTGTTGTATGATGTACTGTACATATACAGGCCGAGCAGAGTACCGCTTGAGGGAATTTGGCAAATGTATTGCAAACAAGTCGTGAACGAATTTCACGATTCGAGGAAATTTTGAACCCGGACACCAAAACTCGGTTCAATCCGGGTTTGAACTATTTAATTCCCGCGGTGTGAGGAAGCAACATAAAAGGATGCTTTTAATTGTACAACATGTAGGCACAGAGAGCGCATACATGGCTGAGCAGCGGGCAGAAAATCTTGGTGTGCTTGCCAAAAGGAGGAAAAGAAAATCCTCTCCACCAAGAAGAGCTTAAGCCTTCAGGTCAAAAAGCGGACCTTGGGGGTAAGTCCCTCTGGCAAAGACGCCTGATTCAACTTGTTGACTGACAGGTGTCAAGCCTTGAGGGACTTTGTTAACTTGGTGCATCATGGTACTTGATCAAAAACCCTCAGTAAACAAAGTCAGAAAGGTCCTCACACTATCATTTATCCACATTAGAATCATATGTCATCTATTCTTGTAACAGAAACCATCATTCTGGCTGAAACACCTTCCCAGCTACACTTCAAATAAGAAAGAAAAGTCCTGTTTGTCTGGCCAATTCAAACATCTAAAGGAAAATTTGAGTTACAGAACCTCCATACCTTTGTTTTTAACATCAGAAGCACTGTATCCGTGTGGCGGTCTATTGACGACAAGCGCACACAGACTGCATTTGAGGCACAAAGGCAACTTGTATTGCTTGCCGACAAGCAAACACCACTCGAACACGGTGAAGTTTACCAGTGGCAATCTGGGGGAAGCCAAGTCCCTCAAAGGCAAGAAAGTAAGGAGGGAACTGCTCTACATCTGTGTGGGTGTCAACATCAGCATGTTGAAGGAATGAGGCTGGCCCATTGCACAAAGCAGATCACGGAGGATAAGTTGGTCAAGTTGGGGATTTCTTCAACTCTGTGAACTTTCCGGGAGCAAAGTATTGCACGGTACAAATCCGACCTCGCGGGACAGCTACGGCGCGTGTTCTAAGCGCGGGTCGGTTAACAACGTCCACAATCAGCTCGGTCCATTAGGTTCCTTTCACGCCTTTTAGTCAACGGCTATAACATCTGATGATTGACGGACGCAGCCCAACCTCGCTTGGTAGCTTCATCGTATCATCACCGACCCTCACCAGCTGAGATGAGGCTTCCTATATCTGTCACACCTTCGAAGGCTGTGCAGAGTGTGACGACCGATTCGACATGTACCGTTGTCAATGGAGAAACCATCATAGTCGAATTGCAAGGCAAGCTCGAAATCTCAAGTCATGATGAGGATATCGATGAGAATTCGGCGCGAGCAGGCCTAGAAATTGGGAAACTCGACGTCTCCGATCCAGTGAGCTTGTTGTTTCTTTTACTTGAGCTTTTCAGGACAAAACTTCAGTTATTGATTTGCTTCGTTGAATTGTAGAGAAAACCTTTATTAACAATTGGTAATCATCAACTCGAAGGCAAGATTGTTGAATTCCCATCCCCGCTGGCTTTACTTCGTAAAATCGAACTTGGAGCTTTACCATCGCCTTCCGATACTCAAACCCAATTAGACATAATAGCCCTTGTGAACCGTAAAATTGTCTTTTCCAAACGACCACATCCTATAGTCAAAATGGAATGAATATGAACTCACGACTTTGAAGACTGTCATCAAAGTCAATGTCATGTAGATCATGCTATAAGTGAATTTCTGAATGTTGAAGACATAAATTTGCTCCCTAGATTATGAAAGTGCTTGAGTCAAAGGGAGTCTTCATGTTATAGCGCGTTGATACAACGCGCTCAAGTCTCGCATCTTTGTTGGACAGCATAAGCAAGAATCTGCCAGGCAATGAATACTTTTGCATGCTACTCTCGGCAGACACCATAGCGTTGCCATCAGTAGTGCTACTTTCAAGTATACACCTCGAGCCAGGGTCAGCAATTGCACGAATGGAACTACGCGTTGATCAGTTCCGGAGATCAGAGTGACACAACTGCTTGTTACTTCAAAGATAGTTTTCTCACCATAAGAAAGAAAAATGACAAAAGTATAGGCGAGCCAGCTCGAAAGCCGGCCCGTCCGATCAAGAGATTGAGCATCGGCTTACATCATGGACATAAACCCGACAGCGGTGCTGGGTGAAGCGGAAGGGTCGCTGTGCGATGCCCAGACCCACTGCCGACAGTCAGGTATCCTTGATCACCCAAGACTGCGAACGCAAGGTAAGTATGAAGAAGGGCTCCACAATTAGGACTATATACATGGTTCTGCGCAACTTATGTTCAAACCTTGAATGCTGCATCACGCATCCTTGCTGGTGCTTGATTGTACGAGATAAAGAGAAATATATGAAAGTCGCGACTCGCCGATTCAGCCTTGTAAGAAACTTCTGTTCAGATAAGAGAAAGCCTCTTTTCCTCCATCTTCTTCATGCAATAGATTTGAAAGCCTTTTACAAGAAAGCTGTTTGGAATTTTTCATGGGCTTAATGAGTTTGAACTTTGCTCAAGCAATCAATGATTCGTGGCGTTTCCATGAAGGCATTTCTGTTCGTTTGACGAAGTCCCTGCAAGGATGCGTGATGCAGCATTCAAGGTTTGAACATGAGTTACGCAGAACCATGTATATAGTCCTAATTGTGGAGCCCCTCTTCATACTTACCTTGCGTTCGCAGTCTTGGGTGATCAAGGATACCTGACTGTCGGCAGTGGGTCTGGGCATCGCACAGCGACCCTTCCGCTTCACCCAGCACCGCTGTCGGGTTTATGTCCATGATGTAAGCCGATGCTCAATCTCTTGATCGGACGGGCCGGCTTTCGAGCTGGCTCGCCTATACTTTTGTCGTCTCTCTCACATTTTGTTTCATCGCAAGAGGCTCTCATCGACTTCAGAAGATCCTCCACAACGAAGTTCTAGAGCGCAGACATTTGTTAAGCAAGCTATTCAAAGCCCACTACTGATAATAATACAGGCTCAGCTTTTAAGGAATATACCCAATGTCCAACCTGATCAACTTTTTCAACTAATCAACACACTTGTTCACTGTCCTCTTACTCAAAAAGATTAAATGAACGTATTCAGAACAAACATTATTTTAATCTAAAAAGGTTTCCGAAAAAACTCTAATGAATAGTAGTTGAAAAAACTTGAAAAGCTACACAATTGCTAAAAAAAATTAGATAAGAAAGAGATATATATAAATAAATAATTAAATATATACATTTGGGGAAATTGATCAGAACTACTAGGAGAGATAAAATAAGAAGAGATAACAAAGGACTAATTAAAACGATAATCATCACAACAAGATAGATCCTATGAACACGATTTCAGTAAAGTGATTTTTTTGGAAAAATGAAGAACGGTAACAAAAGGTGAATATACATTATGTCGGAAGGAATAATCGTTATGAAACACGAAAAGGAGAAAAAAACATTCATGGTCTTTTGAAAGCTGTCACCGTTTGATGGGGGAGAAGGCGGTTCAAGGTCGCCGACTTGGTCCAGGCGATCGATTCAAGGCTCCCATTGCTCGATACCGCTCCAATTCGGCTTGTAGCCTGCAAGTCGAATCCCGCGATTGCAAGTCAGTTTCATTGAATGCGAAAGATGTTGATCATAAAATCACCAATGAAAAAAATGATAGAAATCTCTTCAAACTCACCGCAGTGTTTTCTCTTTCATGTCAGCTGCATCACGTTCAGCTCTTCGTTTAGCTAGCTGTAGTTCGCTCTCGGAGGATTGCTGGAGAAGTATCGTACACATCAGTTGACAAGTTATCGTTTACAGCTCATATTATCTTAATTGAGACTGAAGACCACTCACCAGATCAGAATTTTGTTTCCTGAGTGTCAACAACTTATTCTCAAAATTTGATATCTCATCCCTCAATCTATTCCTGGACCTTTCCGAGTCCATCAACTTAATCTGTAAATCTTCCAATGATCTATCCGATCTTCGTGTAGCTCGTACTACATTCTCTTTTTCTTGTTCTAATTGATTAACCAATTCATCATATTCTTTAGGATCGATCGACATCAGCTTTCGGTTTAGGTTTGATCCTGCACTAAGCGGTCGTGGTGAACCAGAAGCCATAGAACGAGTCTCCAAATCTACAATCTTCAAGTTCAGGCTCTTGATCTTTCTCTCTAATTCAGTCTACAACCAATCCACAATGACATGCATTCGTCAGTGTGAAGTAGAGACCCCTCACAAAATTAAAAAAGAAACCTCACATTTGCTTTGAGCAAATCAGTACTTTCGGATCTTTCTCTTGCTGCTTCGATCTGGCAACTATGCGCACGCCATCCAAACCTTGTATCAGGAAACTACTTTTACACTTCAAACTGGTATCGTTGACAGTATCTACACCAAGCAAAAGAATCTTTCAAAGGTCGTTAAGACTTACTCATTGGCAAATGCTTCGGCTTTCTTTTGTCGTTCCAAGGCGATTGAGCAAAGATCCGACTGATCTTCTAACTGACGTTTCAACTCACTTCGCTCTTGTTGAAGGGTTTGCAAGACTCGATCGTTTGTCAAGCGACCTTTAGTATCGTTTATCCGACCAATTGACCATGATTGATATGTGTTAGTGCGTTCAATATGCGCGGGACTTGCGGCTGTCACTCACCTGAATTGGCAGATAGGTATTCAGTGCCGATTTCTTCCAGTCTCTGTTCCAAGGACTTCTTCGCTGTGACCAGGGCAGCTCTATCGGCTTCCGCTTCATCTCGAGCTGCTCTTAGATCTCTCACTTGACTCATTAGATTAACTATCTGTGAAGATTGTTCAGCTTGTGCAACCACAGCTTCGTCATAAGCCTTGGTCACATCTAATATTCTGGATGTCAATCAACCCAAACAATATCAGCATTTGTGACTTTGGAATGCAGATCACGATCGTGACAAAAAATCAGACTCACTTAGTCTCGAGTCTTTCTTTTTCCTTACTGAATCCACCTCTTGAATACATTCCATCATCACTCTTGATCTGTAATTCGTCTCGCTCGGTCCTGAGCTGTCTAGCTTCTTCCCTCACTCGCATTGTCCTTTCACGTTCCATCTCTAGCTCGGCCTAGATATGTGCCCAAAAAATCGATCATAAACCACATTGCACAATTAGTCTTAATCTTTAAGCTTCGCCAACAATGAAATGATAACAAAACACTTACCGCTAAACTCTCTAATTCTTGCTGAAACCTTTGTCGAGTAGCTTCCACTGTATAATCTCGATCATTCATGGCTCGATCGAATTGAGCTCTAAGTTCATTCAATTCCGCAACCGCTCGTTCCGTCTCTCTTCTAGCTTTCGTAAACCCGCCGCCTTCATCTTCAACAAACGCTTCCAATTCTCTCACTTTTTGTTCTGCTTCTCTTGCTCTTCGTTCGGCCGCTTCTCGATCTTCTACAGCTTCTGCCCTTCGACGTTCAACATCGGTTAGTGAAACCCTTGCAAAGGTCTCAAATATGATTGATTGTCGAATTTCTCGTTAGCCTTTCACCTCTTCGGTTTTCCAAACGCTTGACTGCATTGATGACATCATCCGGGTCTACTCACCTCGCTTTTTTCAGCTTTCACCCGAGCCACTTCAGCAGCCTCGATCCGATCACGATAAGAATCTGCTTTCCTAGATTCTCAGTAGATCATCAGCTAACAAGTTACCACGAAGTAGAGTCTTGTCCGATGCAACTTACTGTTTCCAAGAAGCAAGTGCATGCTCCAGGTCACCGCTTGATGCTCGCTCGATCTCGGCTTCTTGTAGTTCGACTACCAATTGACGTTTCTCTTCAGCCTCCAATTCACGCAAATGTTCCAACTCATCGTTACGTCGTCTAGATTCCATCAGCTCTGCACAAAGGGGCAAGCGGTAGATATCAGTATGAATCAATTCAACCATGGTCATAGGATAACTGTTGCACTCACCAGCTTCAAGTGAGGTCTTAATTTGCTGAAGCTCATTCTAAGATTCACGAATATCAGCCGTAAGAAGAAACAATATCAGTCAGCGTGTAAGGTAGTCTCAGGAACTCGGGTCCCGTCCATTATCATCGAAACTTACAATCTGCATTTTCTGGTTTTCCAAAGCTTGAGCGCCTATCCGATTCTGTTGAGCCAAAGCCACCTGATCAGATTCTAACCTTCCAAACCGATTATCTAATCCATTCGTGATTGAATCTTGGAATTCTTTAAGCGTTTGAGTTCCTTTTAATCTAGCTTCTTCTGCTCGATGACGTGCTTCAACTTCTTCTCTTAACATTTCTTCTAATCCTTCATTTTCTTCATTCAATCTTCTTCTTAATTCTTCCATCGTTCTAGATGGATTACTTGATTCTTCATTGACAGTTTCTAAGATTTGTCTTAATTGACATTCTAAATGATTTCTGATCACATCCGATTTCATTTGTTGCATCTTTAAAACTTCTAAATCTGCTTGAAGGTTATGATTGGCTCTTTCATACTTTCGTACAGTTTCTTCTAATGGAATGTTCGAGTTTCGATCTTGTGCTATATTTTGATCAATCTCACGTGACATTCGTGCAACTGAGCCAGGTCGGCCATGCCCACGTTTGAAGGCAGCCCCATTCGAGAGGTTCTTCATCTTGTCGATCAAGGGACGTCCTAGGCCATCTAACGAAGAGGCACTATATCATCGGGACGACAAATTGAAGGAAACAAAACAATCAGTGGATGTGTAACCTAGATATACACGCTTGGACACACTTACATCTCATTCTCCAATTCTTGATTAGCTTCCTGTAACTCAGCCAAGAGTTTGTCTCGAAAAGGTTCATCGCCACCTTCGCTAGGTGGAGCTTTGACAAGATTGATAAGATCAGAGTAGCGTTGTTCGATCTGTCTTCTCATTCGTTCCATCGTCGCCTTACTTGGACCCGCTGCGCTCCGATCGTTCAGTTGTCGTTCAAGATCGGCGATTCGATTCTCATAATTTCTCTTGACTAATGTACTGACCTCCGTGCCGGCCATCACGTTCTGGACCCAGATCATCAATGAATATGTAGCAGTGATTTAGGATCAGCTGAACTGACTATAGAGCAAAGAGCTTGACATGTCAGTCTTACCTCAGTATGAGTCCGACGACCAACATTACCCATCGATGTAACCGGTAAGGCATTAGACTTGGCGATTTGAAGCTCAGACTGTAGTTTTTTGACTTGATAAGGTAGAAGAAATATCATTGATATCAGCATCAATTCAACACAAGTAAAGACATATGGTATCGCAGAGAGTTTACTCACTAGTGGATTCCGCTGTTGACCGAGCCAACTTTTCTTTTTCTAAACTTGATTTTAAAGTTTGAAGTTCACGGGCCGAATTAGTTGGATCCCCCATCCCACTAACTTTACGTTCTTGAAATAATGCTTGACGTCCATTCACTTTTTCTTTTTGTAATTCACGTGATAAATCTTCACTTTCACCTTTTAACCTTAAATTCGTTCTTTCTAATTGTTTTACATACCCTGCTTGTTCTTTTAATCTGGCATGAGTTTCAGTTAATTGTCTATCTGTATATTTTTTAGCTTCTTCTAATACATGGACATGTTCTACTATTGTTTTATCTTGTAATGAGATCGCTTTATGTAATTCTTGATTTTTCAATGTTAATTCTTTTCTTAATCCGGCTGCATTCTTTTCATGTTCAGATACTGCATCTTTATGAACTTTCAAATCTTGATCCATTCTTACATTCTCGTTTTCTAATTCTATTCGTTTAATCGCCTCAGCCTCAAGTCTTGTACGTAAATCTTCAACTTGTCGACTCCATGCTGATCTTTCACGTTCAATCTTTAACATTGCGTCTTCCATATCTTGAAATTTCAGGTTACTGGCTACTAGTTGTTTTTCTAAGCCTTCTTTCTCTTTGGAAGTACGATTGAGTGCATCATTGGATTCAATTTGTTTCGATCTGACATCTTGTAATTCGATTTCAACTGATCGCTTCGCCCGATCTGCCTTTTGAAGGGCTAATTCCAATTCAGATAATTTTTGAGTCTGATTCTCAATTCGCCTGTGAGATTCATAAGCAATGTAAATGTCAGTATCTCCTCTGACATACCATCCAGATCAAGGTTTTATACGTACTCTGTTGCCTCTTTATGAGCTTCAGCCGCTAGTTTGTACGATTGTCGAACCTCATCGCACTCAGCTTTCAATTTTGCTTCAGTCTCATTCCCAAGTCGTTTCAGGTTTGACATCTCCGTCAACAATTGATCGTGTTGTTCCCTAAACTTATTCAGCTCTTCTTCTCTTGCCTTTGAAACCTTTGATAACTTATCTTCTTCACCACATTTAGCTTCTAACAAACTACGAGTCTCATCAAGCTCAGTTCTTAATGTTTGTTCATTCAAGTTGAATCGTTGAATTTCTTGTTTCGAATCATCAAGTTGCCGAGTTAGAGATTCGACTTTGATTTCAAGTTCATTTGATCGCTTCAAGTTGGCTTCTTTTTCCTTACTGATGATTGATCGTTGATTCTCTAAACTTACCGTCTCAGCCTCCTTATGTTTCAATTTGGATTCATAATCGATAATCAATTTCTTCAATTCACTTAATTGAATTTTGCTATTTGTCAATTCTTTCTCAACTTGCTCTACCTTAGCTTTCAATTTCTGTGAAGATTCCATCTCGAACTCTAGCTTCCCTTCTAATTCAGCTATCAGCACTTTCAATCTCTTCTCACTCCTTTCGAGATCCTCTTCATTTTCCGTCAGTTGTCTTTTAAGGTCTTCGTGGACTTTTGACAGTTGATCTCTTTCAGCTTCGAGTGTTGCAATGGATTGATCTTGTGCGACAATCTTTTCATTGAGATTTGTTTCTTTTTCACTCAATTGTTGTTGAGTTGCTGAAAAACCCTCGATACGTTGATTGAGTTCAGCAATCTGATTTTGAAGCTCGTTACGATCAGCCTTAGTAATCTCGTGTAAGTTCAACTCCTTCTCCAACTGATCCTCCAAACTCTCCAACTCCTTTCTTGTCGTCTCAAGCTCTTCTACCAAAGCTACTTCCATCTCCTTTGACCTTATCAATTGCTCTTCCTTATTCAAACTTAACATCCTTTCTTGTTCAAGCTCTCTGTCCACCTTCTCCTTCTCTAATTCGATTGCCTTCCGTAAACCCTCTACTCTTTCCTTCTCTAATCTCTCTTTTTCATTCCGCTCTCGCAACTGGTTCAATTCGTTGGTTTTCTTCCTCATCTCCTTATCATCTCTTGTCGCCGCAAGTAAAGGTCGAACACGGGTGTAAAGTTGCCACCATGGCCAGCCTTTGAGTTCATTGTAAATTCTTGCATTGCGTTGGATCGTGCGAATGGCCATAGCTTTGTTGAGGATCTTGCGCATCTTGCGCCGATGAATGAATGTACGACAATTTGCTTGTAAGTTGGTGAAGATGTCGAATAATCCTTCATCTCGGCGTTCTTCGAGCTCTGCTAAAACACCAGACTTGAAGAATACTTTCGTAAGTCCAATCTTATACACGGATTCATCTAATTCAAGTGCCCCGAGCATTCTGATCGATGCCTTGCGACCGTCCATATAGCCATTCGGGATGATCCCCGGTGTAAGCACCTCATATCGTTGTCGAAATTCAACAAATGGGAGTCGATTTGGATACCCAAGACGAGCAATCCGGATTCCTTCGAGTACACCGTTACATCTCAGCTGATCTAATACTAACTTCACATCGATCACCCCAGGCCTTTTATCCGGATTAGGCACAATACAACGAACAAAGTGAGGTTGAGTCGATTGTAGTTGATTCATCAATGTACCAAGTTGTTCTTTGTGACGTTGCCCAACAGTACGGAATGCACCACGTTTCACTCCTCTTCGTTTGTTCATTCCCGCGGGTCCAGGAGTGGAGGAAGCAGCAAGATCGTATGAAGAAGTTGAGCTTGCAACAATGCCAGCGGAATCCGGATTCGCTTCACGATACTCCTCAAAGAGGGAAGCCACAAACTTGTCGTTAGAACTTGCAAGGACATTGGTGAGATTGCTATTCAGTGGATCTTTGTTCTTCTCTAGCCAACCTTCAGTTCGATACTCGACTTGACCGGCATAATGTTGAATGATAAAGCCAGTGTTGGAATTGAAACGGGACTTGATGAACTTGGGGTTATTGTCTTTGCTCATGAACCCAATCAATTTTTCAGTAAACGTTGTATCAGTTGCTTTAGGCATGATACATTCTTCATCCAAACAGCTCAAGATACCAATCGGTTCGGAAGTAGACTCAATCAAATCGATAGTAGGCTGGAGATCGAGTCCAAAGTTGACAAAATCCCAATCAATATCTTCACGTGAATATTCTTCTTGTTCAAGTACAAACATATGATGATTGAAGAATTGTTGAAGACGTTCATTGGTGTAATTGATGCAAAGTTGTTCAAATCCGTTGGTTTCAAAGATTTCGAAACCTGCGATATCCAAGACGCCAATAAAAGTAGATTTGGTGATCGAAGCGGACAGGCTGTTGTGAGTGCCTTTTTGATTCTTGTCCAACATGCTATTGATTTTTTCAATCAATTTTCCAAAGGATTTTTCATAAAGGGTGGTACACAGCGACGAGAGTTCCTCTTTGACTTGTTTCGCACTCCGTTGTTGAGTGACGAACTCCCGCCCTGCTTTGATCTTCGGCTTCAGTAAACTCTTCTTGAACTCTTCAAGATTAGGTAGGCCGAGAAGATGAAAAGTTTTTTCGAGATTGACGAGTGAACTAGTGTCTTTAGCAGATTGAATGTATGCAACATCTGAGCGATCTGACGTGATGACGATATTTCCAACATGCAGAATGATTGAGATAATTTTGAAAAGGTTAAACTGTTCTTCTTCAGTTAAGCCCACTACATTCAAACTGTCTTGCAAACTTCTCCATTCATCCAAGTCATTCATTCCATCGACGGTCAGCTTAGATTTATTGAGGTAATCGTAGTCTTTTGGTTCAGTACTATCTAGTAATAGCCGTTCAGCAAGTTTCTCGTCGCCCCCACCCCCAGATCCGGTTGAACTACATCCAATCAACAACTGATAAAAAACGTGAAATGCGCGCTCCTTTTCACTTCGCGAGGTTACTCGGGACTTTTCAAGAAGATACCAGTCGATATTTGCCCCTGCTATCGCGCCAATCGAGTTAAATTCGATTCTCACAAACTTTCCCTGGGTCACAAATAGTCAATTATGATCAGTATGTCAGAGAATGTGATGAAATGGCATGGGTAATAGGGACTAGGAACTCACAAATCGGGAAGAGTTGTTATTTCGAACAGTTTGAGCGTTCCCAAAAGATTCCATGATCGGATTAGCCTGTAGGATCTGACGTTCGAGTTTACCTAGCCGTTTTCCGACCAATTCAATAACACTACTTGTTGGAGCCCGACTTCCAAGACCAGGTCGAGAAGGAGGAGGGGCCTCGTTGAGACTCTGATCACTTCCAGAAGTAGGAAATTTCTGAGTACTAGCGATCGCAGTGAGGTATGAGATGACACGTTTAGTATTCTCCGTCTTTCCTGCTCCAGATTCTCCCGTGATTAAGATAGATTGATTCTCGCGTTCCCCTAGCATATTCTGCCATGATCGTTCGGCGACAGCATAGACGTGTGGAGGGTTTTCTTCGCGTCGTTTGTTCTTGTATTGAGAGATAACTTGAGGTGTATAAATAGGTAAAGGGTGGTATGGATTGATGGCAACTAAAAACAAACCCGAGTATGTCTAGAGTTAGGTAGATGAAAGGTGAAAGTCAATAAGGTGAACCAATCATAATACAATCATAAGAAATGAATGAAGACTTACATAAATCATTTTGGATTCATATCTTTGTCGTAGATTGTGAACCACACTGGGTTCATTCAAAAAGGTGAGATCAGCGATATCTTCGACTTTGTCAAATTTCGGTGGATTCATCTTTTCAAGTGAGTCAAATTTGATTGTTCGAGTCTTGTCATCCACACATCTTACTTCGACCATCGCGTCAGTAGGTGAGATAGACTCTGTACTTGGTTCATCATTAGAATCGGATGAGGTGAGTTCTTTGACGATCCATCCTGCGACATAACCCTTCTTATCATCAGGTAGCCAGACCCATCGTTTTTCGTTGAATTCAGCCGTAGCAGCAGCATCAGCCATCACTTGACCCGGTTTTTTAGCTGTCGATGTCATTGCTGAAGCCTTCGTTGATGATAAAGGGGGGGATGTAGCTGTATCGCCAACTAGATCATGACTCGAATACATTTTTCGAAGACTGCGACCTCTGTCGATTTGTGACATTGTCGAGCCAGATTGAAAGAATGATAATTTAAATACGAATCAAGGTTTGGTAGGATCGACAGTTGGGAGTGGTAGCCAATCTAAACCAGAGAACGCGATTGAAATTGAAACAGTGAAACGCGTCGATCTTTGATGAAATGAGTTGATGGGGTCGAATAAAGTCTCTAGCATCTGCTATGTATTGTTGTACGTACGTACGTCTCGGGTCTGAAGAGCCAGTGGGGAAAGCTGTAATATGCAGCAAGAGGATAGTTCGATCGAGTCAATCAGTTCTTTGTGCCTAACCTTGAGATATCGATAGGTGATGTAGTAGGCACGAGACGTGTAAATTTACCTGGCTCTGTGACCGCTTGACAAACTTATTGATCGAAGTCAGTCGAATGACGCGCTCTGAACCTAAAAGTACACTTGAGTTTGAGAAATCCAGAAAGGTTCAATCGATGATGAGCTGAGTTTGTATTTTGATCGGAAGAAGGATTGATAAGTTGATGATGGTGGGTTGATGAAAGGTAAAAAGTTGAAACTGTCAGCCGATTAAATTCTCAAATGGAAATTCAAATTACAACTCAATCACACTCTTCACATTCTCACCCTCACTCTCACTCTCACTCTCATTCTCACCAACATTCAGATCATCGAATACCATCTACTACCATATATGGCAAAATGCACATCCATCTATAACTTCAACCGCATTGTTAGATAAACATTCTTCCAACAATCAAAATAAATATACAGCTGTAGCTAAAGATTTGCATTGACTCTGAGTCTGCAGTAGAGATCTCTTTTCAATGAGCTTGACCAGGGAGTACTGCTACAAAGGTACCCAAGTAAACTTTTGTCTGCCCACATCGGCTCTCCTCTGAATGTGTTTCATTACGAAAGAAGCTATTTATCCATTTATGTACACAAACACATTCCAAACTCACCTTCTTTTCCGACCTTCCAGGATCTATGTAAGCTACACAGAGCTAAAAAAGTGAAGTAATATGTGGAAAAATTTCCACATAGAGAAAGCTCCACAAGGATCTCTTCTTGCTTTGAGATATTGGTAGGTGGATTTTTCGGTTGACCAGTGATGATGTAGCTTTTTGTTAGCTTAGCAAAGCCCCCTCTGCGCGGCCGCGGGATTCTTGGCACGAGTGCCACAAGGATTGAGTGTCCTTAAGTAGTTTTTTGCATTTTTGCGCTTCCCTCACAGGCAAACCTCACTCTACTCCGCAAGCAAAGTTGTTCAAAACAACTTTTCTCTACATGTTTAAGTAATTACCAAACAGAATTAAAACAGGATTTATATGATAAATAGATGATAGTGTTGAAGATTGAAGATGTATAGATATATGTCAATAATTTTGACAATTGAAGATGATGAAAAAAGCAACACTCACATCACTTGCAAGCCATGCCTTGTGCCTAATTTCATACTTTATATTCCACCTTATTCCATAGCCCGCAAATCATGAGCCCTTGATATCTTTCTTGGCACTTACATGGTTGATTTCCTTACGCCAGGCAGCCAAGCAAGTGATTTGGCAAGTGATAATGTCAACCTGGAAAAAACTGATTTTCAATGTCATATCAGCCTAGTTAAGTCTCATGGAGAGATGATAAAAACTGAAGAAGAACAAGAGCCACCTTGTGTAAGATACAATCCACCTGATTGGCTTCACAACAGTGAGTTGGGGCCACTTCTTCCTCCCAGAGCAAGGCTGGTGCAATTTCATCCTCTGCGCAAGCAGCATCCCAATCAGTCTTCTCCCCAATTCCAGACTCTTGAATTGCAACTTGTGGGACCAAATCTTCCAGATTGTTGAGCTCATGCTCAGTATCTTCTTTGTCTTTGTCAATGGTTTCACTTGTATAAAATATGCCTTGTGCAGCTGACTTTGCTTTGGCAGGAGGCATAGCCTTTAAACCCAGCTCAGATAATCCCACATTGACAATCAGCTCATGTGGTGGGCAGGGCGCAAAAGTAGTCCACCCAGCTGCCGTGTGATTATGAGTAAAATTCTTGTTAGCATCATGATGTACCGGCTAGTATCGAGGCAAACGGGTAATACGCTGGTTTCT